GGCTGGCGCAGGCCTTCCTCTAGCGGAGGAGAAGGTGGAAAGAGCCCAGCTTAGCTCTTCGGCCAGGGCTGGCACGTGTGCCGGGCAGAAGAGTCGGGCAAGCTGAGCAGACGTGCCGTAAAGCCCTTTGGGAAGACCCAAGCACAGAGACCCATGATGGCATCTTTGGTCTGTTTTAAGGGTAGAGCCTCAGAGGATTGCTACAAGGGCAGGAGACTAGGCAGCTTAAAGCAACAGTAGCGTTTTTGCAGCCCTCTCTGGGGCGGGCAGGGTATGGTACAGAGATGTTTTGCGGGGCATCTCCTAGGCCACTGCTTAAAGCAACTTTTTAAAACCACACCCTTCCTTCGTCTTACCTAAATGCTCTCCCCAGGGCCACACCAAGAAGATGAATTTCTTCAAAGTAGGGAAGTACTTTACTGTGGTGGATATGCCAGGATACGGCTACCGTGCCCCGCAAGACTTTGTGGAGATGGTGGAGGCCTATCTGCAGGAACGGCGCAAGTAAGGGACTTAACTGTACCTCCACAGAGCAGTGAAAGCCAGACTCCTATATACAGTGTCATGTAATGAGGTGAAGAAATGCAGGAGGGACAGCTACTTCCAGTGGTAGTATCGATTAGTTCTGACGTCATTTCCCTGGGAACCTCATGTCACTCATTCATGCTTAGACAGATCAAAACAGCAGAAGGGATTGAGGTGCTGCTCCATGCTGACCCTCAGTTCCCATGCATGGCTTTCCTCGGCTCTTCCTATCCCCAGATCCTGTGTTACTTGTTCTTGCTTATGAATTTGGAAGTAGCAGAGCAGGCATGAAATAATGGTGGGGATTACTGTTGCTTGTATTCCTGGCAGCCTGAAGAGGACTTTTCTATTAGTTGATGGCGTAGTAGGACTCCAGAAAACAGATCATATTGCAGTAGAGATGCTGGAAGAGTTTGGGATTCCTTATGTGGTAGGTAACGCTTCGTTCTTGTGTTGGTTATAAGCTACAGATAATCTAGAAAGGTGTATACCCTCTACCTGAGCTTATGCAAGTTGTCCTATCTAAGTAGTAATGCCCCCCCTTTATTATTAATAAAATAGGCCTAAAATGTGTAGAGGGGGGCAAGTGGGATTTAAAGACTTTTTTGTTCAGTTTATTACATGGATGCTCTTTTTGCAGCACTCGGCCTGTGGAGCTTGAAAAGGTCCACTCCTTATGCAGGCTATAGAAGTGTTTTGGTGAACTGTATTATACCATTTTTTTCCCCTAGGTATGACCCAGAGCCTTCAGCCTGCCTTGCAAGATGGCCCAGCACTCTCACAGATGTTCCAGGCTAGCAGCAAAATACTCTTCTTTCCCTCTTTTAATCCTCCTTTTCTGGATCCACGCAGATGGTGTTAACAAAAATTGACCGAGCTTCCAGGGGACTGTTGTTAAAGAACGTACTGGAGATCCAGGAGTTTGTAAAGGAGAAAACTCAGGGATGCTTTCCTCAGTTATTCCTGGTCAGGTAAAGCTCTTTTCCATTGCTGCTGTTTTCTTTCAGCTGATTTGCAGTAGGGCAAACTGCCTGAAACGGGTCTGTCTGCTCTAGAGGCAGCACTTCTCTGTGTCCCAAGGACGGAGGGTGGGCTGCTGATGGGGAAAGGCCCCTTTTCTCCTTCCCCCTCCTCTGCCAGTGCGTGCAGTTCAGTTTTCAAGGCTGCTCTTCCTTTGGACTGTCTGCGAGGAGGGCAGCAGTCCCTACGCTCTGCATGCTAGTGGGCTTTGCCATTTTGTTTGGAGTTGTGTTAACAGTCGCGATTGTTTGGTTACTGTAGCTGAAGTGCTTCATTTCCCAAGATTGTACTGCACTGCGGGAGATGTAATTTAATACAGCCAGTGGCTGAGTTTGCTGCTATTGCTCCAAGACACGGGAGCATCTGGCACTCAACACCCACGCCTTTGTTTCCGCAGTTCTGTGGAGTTTTCAGGGGTTCACTTGCTGAGGTGTTTTGTAGCCCATGTTACTGGAAACCTGCCTACTCTAGAGGCCAGTTGAAAAGACTGACTCCTGGTCTGCTCAGTTCATCCAGAACAAAAGGTACCAAAGCTAGAGGTCTGGGGTTTTTTGTTGTAAATAACCTGAGGTACTAGAATTTATTTTTTGATAAACTTGTATAAATTTTTGGATTAATTTAATATCTCTGAGGCTAAGCTTTTGCTTAATAAATTCATTAATTCAGGAAGTTTGCTCTATGAATGAATCCAAAACTGTTTTATAAAACCTATGTGATTGTGCTAAGGAGAAAATAAGCAAAGAACGTCCAAAGAGAAGCTAAGTTTTAATACAGCATTTCCTCTCCCTCCAGCTAAATGTTCAAAAAGCTACTACTGCATGCCTAAGGTCTGCTATATTTAGGATACTAGAGATAGTCTAGTAATCTCATTAATAAAAAGGCATTGAGTTTAGAAAAGAAAAACTATAGCCCTAATATGAAGCAAACTCTACTTGCCCAGTTGAATTGAATGATACACAGAGGTTTACTTCCTCAGCTTATATAGCAGGGGCCAAAGACCTGTGCAACCTGCCTGCTCTGAGGTGATCTAGAGTGGAAATAGCCAATGCATTGTCTGTGAACGTGTGTTTAGGACTTCTTGTATATTTTACGTTTGTAACTCCTCTGCATCATGCATTCAATAAGTGCAGCGTGATAGCATGCCTTGCTTGTGTACATGGAGTTGTCCCTGTTCCAGGTGGATGAAGGAAAGGACACATCTTTAACGGGTTCTGCTTTTTGATCACTGTTGGCTTGAAACAGAGTGGAATAAATGACTGACGCCTAGGGGAAGTCTCTCCTGCACTTGATCATCCATCAGCGCTGCATCTACCTTCTGTTTTAAATCCAGCATGAAGTTCTGCAGCTGCACTCAGATGAATTGCCAGAGATGAGAAACATTGTCCATCATCTGCATCCATTCTACCCTGGCAGCTGAAGCAAAATACTGATGTCCCATACTCTTTAGGGGCAGTGTAACAGCTGGCAGAAGTCTGTCCCACAGCAGCTAAGAGCACCTAAAGTTGGTTCGTTACAAGGCACTTGGTGTCTGCAGAGTCGTTCCTCTCACATATTCTCACTCCAGCTGCAGTTTTTGTGTTCCTTTGGGTTTTTTCCCCTTCTTAAATACATTATCCCAGAGGCGCTCCCACTATTGCTCATTGACTCGGCCTTGGCCAGCGGCAGGTCTGTCTTGCAGCTGGCTGGCATTGGCGCTATCGGACATGGGGGAAGCTTCTAGCAGCTTCTCACAGAAGCCACCCCTGTAGCCCCCCTGCTACCAAAACATTGCCACGCAAACACAATACACTGGAGTGGTCTCTTTGAAATCATTCTGCACGTGAACAGGATGTGAGAGGGGTTTTATGTAATCCTTTGGGC